CACGCGGCATCGAAAAATATTCTGACCGTCCGAGAGTATACACTTGGAATTCCCGGGCGAGAGCCCGACAAGCATGGAAAAACTCTCGCGAGGGCTCACGTCAAAGAAAACTGAATTTCGCCGGAAGTTTTATCGATGCAAATATTCTTTTTGATTTAGACCGTCCCCGGCACGCATCACGCCCTCGACTCCTTCGATACGAAACAACTGGCCCTCAGCGGATCCATCCCCGCGGGACGACACCTCGTAGATAACTGAATTCCAAACTCGTCCCTCGAACTTTCATATATTTTTCCCCGCGATGCAGTGGAAATATTGTGCGCTCGGTGTCCCAGGACGATATTACAGGAAGATACAAAAATCCGCGTGCGTGTTACGTCCAAAGTCGCAAAGTAAGCCATTCGTTGACACACGTTTCTCCCGTATCCATGCGCAGGATGTCGCTAAATAGACGTCGTAAAACGAATGGATGTAATTCATGCCATAAAACTAAACGGAAATTGTTTTAGCGCATGTATTGAGGTATTAGGGTTCGAAACTGTAATTTTGAATTCGGAGAACTCGTATGTATACTCAAACTTTTTACTTAGTTTAAGATAAAAAAAAAGAGATTTAATAACACCTGCTCGAAAGTACTGTCACTCATGTCAGATTAAAGCTGCATCCGCACGAGGTTTTCTCTCCATCAGAGTTACTGTCGACAGAGAATTTCTCGATAAACACTAGATGAAGAGAAATCATCGATTATCTAACGTCTTCGAAAACTGGTACCGCTTTCGAGAGCAAAATACGCACGTCTCGGGTCACATCCGCTATTCTATCTATTGAAGATGTTGACGATCGCGTGATGTAAGTGATGACATAAGCGTAAAGATTCGCCTATCTTATACAGCCCACCCGATTGCGCCGACGGCCGACAGTCCAGCTGACATTCCGTATTTCACTGTCAAAAGTCAAAACTTAGCACGCAGCTGAGGTGAAATAATGTACGCTCTGAGGTTATTTATGAGCGCGTCGTAGAAGCAATGGCGCTGCCAGTGCGAGTCGTGAATTGTGGAACCCACCATCGGCGAGAGAGAATTCGCTGGTGCATCCCGACGTCGACGACGAAGACAACGACGAAGACAACGACGAAGACGAAGACGACGATGACGACGACGACGACGACGACGACGACGACGACGACGACGACGACGAAGAGGATCGCGGCGAGCGAAACTTCTTACACTTTCCCGGCACGACTTTTTCACGGTTGAATGTCGCAGCTCTCCCGTGCCAATTTCTACGGCTATTGGATTTTTTCGCAACACGTGGCTAGTAGGATGCCAACGTCTCGGTACTTTGATCGCTCGTTGATAGCCTCCCGCAACGAGTTCCCGAGTGATTTTGATGTATTGCGTTATAGAGGCGATGATAGACAGGGACAAGCATCAAAACGACAGGTCGAAATAAGAAGAAAAAGTAAAAACAAGTAAAGGACATAACAAAACTCAATCGCATCATTCTCCAGTTAAACTACGCTTTGTTCTCCCGATAGAGAGAAGCGCGATTTTTGATAAAGATATACTTTAACAATTACGATGATTTATGTTTCTGTAAAAGGGAACCGCGTAAGTGGCAGCAAATAAAAGTAGCAAGTTAATTTCGCTACAATATCATTCTTGAGTGTATCGGAAAACGGAGCTGGATTCCGCCGAAGGGAATTGCAATGGCAGTGATACAGCTAATGTTGATAAACTTCCTACGCCCGCGGGTCACGTCGACGTCATCCAGATTTTAGCGCACGTAAAGCAAACTCGCCGTGATGTCATCTGCTCATGGTCAACTGTTATAAACAGTGTAACATAATTATATCTACGAGAGAAAGCAATTACTTCACGTGTCGGGAATGCTGGTAGAATACTGCAGTTTTATGCTCGATTCACGAAGATAATCGCATACAGATCGGATAAGTTTAAACAAAAAAAATCAATGTGTCGGCCGAATAGATTGAGGGAAAAAGGAAAACTAAAACTCGTAAAATTTTACGAGCGCGCGTAACGTTCTCGCAGGGGATACGAGATGACCTGTAATGTTCGTATCGAAATCCGGAGATGTATTTTTGAGTCGAAAACACAACGTTTCTGCAAAACGTTTTTTTTAAACGCTTATTATTATTATTATTATTTAAGAGTTAAAGATTATTACCTAACTGCTAACGTAACAAAACCTTTATTCTTTAAATGTTAATTATATCCTTTTAATTTTATATATTGTTTAAAGTGTAAATATTCTATATTAAATTCATTTTGAAACAAAGTTTAATCAATTAAAATCTCATTCTTTAAATTCAATTTCTTCAAATACGCTTTATTTAATTCAGAAATACAAACACGCTGTATTAAATTCATCTTGAAATTTTATGAAATTGCATAAATGTGCCGCCGTAAATTTCCGCCGCGTCGCTTCGACGTCTTTCCTCAAGTGAGACGGCACGCGTTAAAGCGAGCGTGTTGTAACGAGTACGCAATTTGCACGAGCCACCGCCTCCTCCGGAACCGCAGTGGGGGAGGTGCGACAAGCTCGGGAGAAAACGCTGTAATTCCGCCCGAGGTCGACTGTTGTCCCGGTGTACACGGTCGTGTAAACGTAAGGGTCGCCGTTTCGGCGTCGCGTAATCTCGCGTAATCACGCTTCCTGAGGTAAGTACGACCGCTTTCCGTGGAGCTTTCGCGCCGGGACGCGATCGCGCCGGATATCACGGGCGTAATCCGCGGTCAGTCCGGTGTCTCACGCGCGACGAGCATTCCGCGGCTCACGTTGCGCATACAAAACGAACCGTTCGCCTATATAAAATCGGAGAGAAAGAGGGAGACGCAAACGCGGAGAGAAAGCAACGCAGCCAGCCCTCGGGCCGATATAGGGCGAGAAAAGGACCGGGGATACTTGGACGGTAAGCCAGCGGTAAAGCGCCGCGGGCGCGAATTCGACGGCGCCTGCTGCGCGCTCGATAAGAGACGTTTACATACGTCTTAAGGAGAACGCTGTTACCTTAACGATCGCGTACCTATACGACCCCCCATAAAACATAACGTCCGTGGGATATATGTAACGACACAGCGAGACGGTTCGATCGCGATTCCTATTGCGATTGATGTATGGGGCCACGGATGACGGGAGGATGTATCTCGATGGCAACTGCACAAAAATGATTTTCGATTTATCGCGATTGGATAGAGCGCGAATCGAGTGCGAGCGTGATACTGAGTAACGCAGTTGAAAATGTAGTGATGGAAGCGATTATTTGTATAACAGTATTTAATTAACACATTTTCAAGTTTTACAGTGCAATTCTGTTGCATCGCAACTGTTTTTATTTGTGTCGTCAGTCCTGAAGGGATTTCATCTCTTGGTCGCGTAAAATTTTCTATTTTATTACACGAAACGACTGAATTAAGTTATTCCTATATAGTAAAATTTAGAACAGAAACAAACTGGCTGGTCATTCATTAAATTTTAATATTATACGTAGAGAATCGTTATTAATAAATAACTGTTTCAGATTAGCGTTTCGGATCGTGATTTACAAATTATCTCCGTTCCTGAGGAATACATTTGTTGCTCTTAAAAGCAATAACGATAAGTGTAATCGGTTTGTCCATTTGCATGCGTGTACACGCAATTTATCAAGTTCCACCAGGCTGCTTTCTTAAATGCGCCGTGCGGAGAAAAAACGGAGAGCAAGATCGGCGATTAATAGAGTCCGTTTTGTATAGCGCAATAGAAAACGCGCGCTGTGCCACGGGGGCTTTTAATTACGCGAGTAATATCACGCGTTTTTAAAGAGACACCACGTTAATCCATTGTCTCTTGAATTCCCGGGTAAAAAAAAGGCGACGGGAAAAGCCTTCGGAGAATAGAGATTGCACCGTTAAAGGTGGTTGATTTTAATTTCACGGAGCGCGAGCCTTCGGTTACGCTACGAACATGCGAGCCGCCTAAGTGCCACCTTCCTGTGCTGTGTTCCAGCGCGCGTGTATGTGTAAGACTATACAACCCCGTGTATACGTTCCACGCATACAGGCACACGGAGTACCTCGAAAAAGGCGTATACCATTTTGATGAATAACGCCGCCGGTAGGAAATTCGTTCCGTCTTCGAAGTTGCGGCTCAAACTGCGTCAGCATTTTTAACGACACCTGACAACATCGAGGTTCATCGCTTATTCCGAAACTCGCGCGAACTCGCTTAAAATGGTGTAACGATGATCAATAAAATATATACCTAATACATCTAGATATAATTTATACAAGTATATACGTATACCTGGAAGTCTTTTATCTCGTGTTTGCTCCTCTGTCTTTTGTAAAGTTTCAAAGATTCTGGAGACAACAATGTGAAAGAATAAAGTAATATTACAGCAGGAATTACGTTCCGCGGTATTTTCTCACTATTCTTCATCATTGTTACGCGAACGAAAGATACCGACGATAATGTAAAAAGTACCGAAAAGTATGTCATTTATGAAAACAGATGGTTGCCGATTTTCATGAAAATGTCGGTTACCTACCTCGCTTTCTGCGGTGATGCAACAGAGATCTATGTTTTACCAGCGCTCGCCAACGCCGCTAACCGACTCCATAGTTTAAAGCCCGACGTAGCGGCTGTATATACACGTGCACGCGCGGCAACCCAACGATAGGAGGAACGGAAGGTGCAGTAAGCGGCGCAAGAGAGAGGAGAGCCTGTGGGAGTGATCGATGGGACGGCGTCCAAGCGTGTCTAAATAATTAGCTGTCTCTGTTCCGACCCCACACCGTTTGTAGTGGCCACCCTATAGATAATACGGCGTACACGACGCGGATGTTCGCTGACTGCGCGGTCGCGAGTATATATATATATATATATATATATATATATACAGGCGAAAGGGGAAGAGCGGAAAAGGGGAGAAGGGTGAAAGAGAACACGCGAAAGAGGGACTATTGCGATTTGTCGAGTCGCCTGAAATAACGATAGTCGTCATCGATACACGGAATATACAAGACTCGCGCGCGCGGAGATTTTTGCGTCGCGCTGCGGTACAATCTCGCGAGAGCCTGTGCTCTCGCACATTTTTACGGCGAAACTTAACGCGTTTCCCTCATAAAGGGAGAAACTTCCATCGAAGATCATTCGTGCGGACCTCACGTAATCTCGTAGGGTTGCGAAAACGTGTAAATATTTCATGAATCGGGTGTAATCTCGGCGAGTGAATTTAAGTGGAAGCGAGATTTTGTAGTCACGAGTGTCGACTGCCTAAACAAGTTTGTAAAAGTTTGCTCAGTATGACTGCGTTATCATGTTGCCGCGGGATACGTCTGTGTGAGAGGTAAGATTGTATTAGCGAGAGTAATTTTGTACCGGAGTAAAGAAAGAATGATTTTTTAATCATCTCTAGCGAGTAAAAGAGCAAGAAATTTTTCAACTGACGATGAAATATTTACAATATAATAATAATAGAAATTTACCATTTCTGAAGAGATCTAGACATTTTGAATTCAGTGATCGCGCGAAAGGTTGGTCAAATTATGAAATTCTATAATTCTAATAAATTCTAAAATTGTACATGCGACAGCAAAGCTATATATAATATAAATAGATCAAGCGTGCGCACGATATCATTTTGTTGTTTTCTGCTCTTGAACCGCACCAGAGAGATAGATCGTGCACTTACGTTGCACAACGGCATTATACGCCAGGAGAACGCCTTCATTATCTGCTAACGAGCTCGTAATCAGTTTTTGTCGTTATTAGCACGCGCAATGGATCATACGGACACATTAAAAGCGCTAACTACACACGATAAAAGAAGTATCGAAAGCATCGATTCTCCGATTAGAGTCTCTATGTGCAGCCCGCGCTCTAAATTCACGCAATTAACCAATTTTACATGTGACAGTTTCCCAGACAAATTAGATTTCATCGCGCGTACCTTCTATTAGCTTTCGTTTTGACGTTGTCCACTTTTTTTTTGTCGTCGTTTATCGTCGCTAATGACGAGCATTGCGCGTGTGTTATGCAATCGCGAAATGTAAAACTTGCCGGGCGCGTCGACGTCCGCGCGGCAAATTGTCAAATAATTATGCAGTTAGAGTAGCGCGGGAGTTAGTAATTTTAATTAAAATCAACGCGGCGCGCATTCGCTCAACGTTCCAATAGTGTCGATGGAAACGCGGCCAGCGGCGCGGCGATGCTAATTAACCGGGCAAACGCACTTTACGATGTTTTGTATCAGCCCCCGCGAACAAAAACTGGGCCGACAAAGGCTGCACAAAATTCTCTTCCGATTATACAGCGAAAATATCAGAACTAATTACGGACTAATTCGGACCTATTCATAGGCGGGCGCGGCGCGGGTTTTTCCGCGTTTCGTGCCCAGGAAATTATGCAAAATTACGTTGCCGTCCCGATGTAATGACCAAAATTTAACTCCGAAATTTTGTCGCCGCGAACGCGAGCGGATAAATGACGATAAAAACGCATTTGCATACATCGTGCTCGTCTGAGTGTCCGGCACGTCGAGTACGTGTAAGTGTACCTATGTTATTCAGTTTTTATGCACGCACAAATGACGTAATAACGTTATAAATATTAAACGCTCCAGCAAATCCGCGAAACAGCAATATGTTTAATATCGAAATATTTCGAGCGATCAGAACGAAATCACATCGCGTCGTGTCCACCAATAATCGTATGGTCTCGTAAACACTGCGGAAAAATTCGCTCCGGTGAAACTTTTTTTTTTTCGTAAAATGCTCTTCGGATAATTTTCCCAACCGTGATAAAATATACTTTTAATTTCGAAATAGTAAAAAGAACAGAAATAAGATTGTTAATTACATTAGTTCACATAAAAAATTTTTATAGACATCTTATTCGATGAGAAGCTTAATATAATTATGTATAATAATTTTTTGCATAACATAAATATGTAAACATATTACTTTTAATTTTAATGTTACCATATTTGTTTTATACAATATATATTAAATGTCCTTTTCTTCGATTATTATAAATTCACAGGTGTAATGTACCAATAAATATAAAACATAAAGATACGATAAAAAATTAATTAAATACTTTTTGTATTGCGCTTTTTTATGTTTTTTGTAGACTTGATTACATGCTCACGTTTTAAAATTAAACAAAATAGGAATTATTTATTTTTTTAGGAAAGAGAAGAAAGAAACAGATAGAGAAAGAGAATGGAGGAGTCTCCCTAGATTATCTCATAAACGCCGTTTGACGTCTTTTCGTAAAACATTAAAATAAAAAGAATTTCATCATTCTCTCGTCAGTAACAACCGGCAAACGTGTCCGTTCACGATTCCAATTCGCGCCACGCACGAATACCCGCGCGCACACATATACGCACACGCAAAACGTGCGTCACGTTGGCATATTTTCGGGCCGGCGCGCATCAGAATACATGCACAAGCGCGAATAGTTATTTACTACGACTCGTATATACGCGAGGCTGGTTATATCGCACGTGAGCCGCATTTAATGCCCCGACGGCCAATAGTTTGTAAGTGTTTTACCGTGTAGTTTTACGGCCGTCGGGGCCGAGTATTTCGAGCCACCCCCGAAAAACATTTAGGAGAGCCGGCCCGACACTCGTCAGCCGTGTGCGTAGACGGCAATATTCTTGGCTCGATAGAAGCCCATTCTATCCGAGCGTCGCCCCTCTCTTTTTCTCTCTCCCTCTCTCACACTCTCTCTCTCCTCGTGTTCCGTTCCTCATTCCCGTCGATCTCCTCCGGCAAGATTTCTTCCCGTTCATATCCCTTTTTTTTCTAGACCATTTGCCGCTTCGCTTCTCGGCGCACATATCAAATTCGCGCGCGGCCCGATGGGCTTGTTCTTAAATAATCCGCGAAGTTTCGGCGAGGGCCGATCTAACAAGGGAAGCACTTTCGTTCGAACACGATTGCTTGACGGAAACTTGGGAACTACCTTTTCCCTCACTATAATCAATTTTCGTCCTCCAAAGCTATCTTGGCGACAGACTTTAGTACATCTAGATTAAACTAGTCCGATATCTCTGATAGATTGAAAAAACTCTTTATATTCAAATTTTTATGCTGAATTTTGATATGTACCAAAATGTATCTGCGAGTGAGGCATCTCTCTCTGCTGATCGGAAAACTTTGTTTTCAAATAAAAGCATCTCTCTCTCACTCTCTCTCTCTCTCTTCAATTAAACAAATTCTTTTTTTCACACGGGAAATAGAATTAATCCAATAATTTTGGCACATGAGCTAATCGCGATATTATTGTCGCGCCACAATGCCATACGGACATTCATAATTCACGTTTATGTTAAAGTTGTAATGTGATTCCCATTATATTGCATCATTGCGTAATCCCGCGTTACTTCGCGTAATAATATCGTTAACAGCGTCGCGCGTGGTGTAAAACGTACCATGCATACGCGGCGCGCGCGAAATAATGCAACGGAAGAGTATTATTTCCGTGCAATTTGAGTACAGGCGCTACAAAGTGAAACATGACCGGTGACCTGGATTTAATCCACGTGTGACATGAAAAAAAAAAGTGCAAGACGCAGCCTTCCTTCGTGACAGCAGCAGCAGCAGCAGCGAGTGAAATAGGGACAAATCTCAGTTAGAATTTTTCAAATTAAAAGCATGAAAGACGCTGACCCGTGAACCGTCAGTCAGTTGTCAGATGTCGTATTCCATCCTGCTATGTATATGCAATATATATGTAATCATACGAGCGTCTTTAAGCGACTTCTCCATTAGCAGCTTCCAGTAATGAAACGAGACATTCTCGTCGCGCGAGAAATCTCGATAATATTTTCGCCCTAGAAACACAGAGAGGAAGAGGCGATATTTCCTTCATTTCCTGATGAAATATACTCGAAAGTTGCCGAAATGTTTCAAAGAAAACCTTACTGGTACACGCTTTACTGGATGGCAGAGAGAGAATATTCAGTCCATTGTTACGAAATTAAATGCATTAACAAAAAAATCGACGCAAGTTCCATCGAAATCTTACGTGTCTCTGAGACACAATGCATTTGGAGCAGTCCTCCGAATATATCTTTGAAAATGACGTAAGTTCGATTCTAAACAAGCGTTTAAAATTAAATTAGGGCACGGATAAACCGGAAATTACCAAAATAACCAAATGTTGCGTGCGCAAGCATCGCACGAATAAGAGCGGGCTCTATTTCCGCGCGATCGATTGCTGCAACCAATTCCACGCGCGATTACGGTTTCTATGTTAGCACCGGGCAACGCTGCCGCCAGTTGTAGTATGTAGTTGTAGTGTGCGAGAACTGCTCGACGAGAGAACCGGGCGTTGTTGCGTGTTCCTCGGAACGAGCGCGAAAGAAACTTGGGCAAAACTGCATCTCGTTTCGCATATATACGAACACCTCGGCGAACACACCCCCGCCGTCTTACGACGGCACGTCGTGTTTATTAGCGGAACTTGGCAGAATTGCGGTACGCGTCTCTCTCGCTCGCTCTCTTACTCTCTCACACGGACGACGTATTGATATTCCTCACGCCGTGTACGTCGAGTCGAGAAAATTGCGCGAAGGGTGGGCCCTTCAAAGCCGCGCGGCGTTCCCACGAAACAAATTACCGTGCGACAAGCGGGGATGCGGCTAGGCGTGTGCGGGCGCAACGTGCATTTTGAGGAGCCGCGTACACGAGTAGTCGTAAAACTAGTTTGCGCAAAAGACGTCGAATTCCCAATGTGCAATCCTCTAGCAAAACACGTCGGCGAGCGGGTCGTCGATAAACCTGATAAAGAATATTCTGTTAGACAGCAGACAAATTCCAGTAATTTATATATAAGTACGTTTAGCAGTGTTGAGTATTCTTCTACGTAAGAATTTTTGTCGCTCGCGAAATTCTACTGGCATGCTTCAGACAAGTTCGCTTTAACGACGTACCCCTAAAAATATGCCCTACCGTCTGCCCTACCATCTGCATATCTTTCCGAAAAGAATTTGATTTGGAAACAGGCACTACTTAGACCGGCACCCTCCTTCTTCCGTCGCTTTCTTCGGGACGAGCCGAAAAAAAGCGAGCGGCGAGGAAGAGAAAAGGGGGATGTGCGAGTTAACGCATACGCGCGCAAATTCGCAGGCGTGCGCGCGGCACGAGAGAGAGAAAGAAAAAGAGAGACAGAGAGAGAGAGAGGAGACGCGATATATATAAAATATACACTTAATCTGTATTCGAGGCGCGAGCGCCTCGCCGCCCAGCCGACTCTGCCTAGCCGGCGGAATACAAAATTCCCGTATTCAGATGCCCCGCGACAGAAATTGACTTTATTGAGGTTTATTGATCCGCAATATTGTGTTCCGCCGCGCGCGGAGCGCCCGCGGTTCTGGGTTCTTCGCCCGCGCTCGAAACGTGCACAGGTTCGCGCCCTCGCGTGTACACGCATATATACACGACTATTCGCGCGTACACACGGGGCACTTTCCCCATCTCTCTCCCCCACCGCCGTCGTGTCGGCGTTCCCGAAGGTGCTGCAGGGATTCGATTTAACGGAATATGGATACTTCTACTCAGTCAATGTCGAACACAGAGACTACCGATATTAGTCAATATTTGCTCTAAAAGCATGGGATGATACTTCGAGGCATCGAAAAAGAAGCGTTTACGAAAATAAATTACTATTAAGACGCGAACAAATTGTTCTCTCACGTAAATATTATTACGTATAATGCATCAACGACTTGTATTTCAAAATACTATATATATTATATCGAGATCTATGAAAATGCTTATACGTTATTCTTGCGCGTATTTTTGCCCAGTATTTCTATCTCTTTGCTTCATCGGTACTGGAATCGAAAGTATAATTGCGTGAGTCCAACGTATAAATAGAAAAAGGTTAGTTCTAATCGAGAAACACGCCTCTTGACAACTCGATCTCACGTGCGCGCAACTCATGCGAAAATCACATGTACTTAGAAACAAATGTCTTCATGAATGCCGGCTCGAACGCGTCCCGATAAGCAGACGCAAGAAACGTGATAGCGTATCGATCGAGACGAAGCCGATTTACCTTCGAGTAGATTACGCGTCACGATGTTGTCGCTTCGGCGCGTGTTTAGAGCGAGAGTGCTTCGATAGTGTGCGACGAACGTTTTTTTCACGATGACAGAGTCGCTATCGATCCGACAGCTATAATCAAACGGCGAATGCGTTAGGTCAGATCAGATTTTCGTACAATTCGCGTAGAGAATAAAAATATATTCACTTTTTTTACCCAAATTTAGCATTAGAAATGTTTTTTCTAAAATCTAAAATTCTCTATTTTTTGTTCGTTAATTATAACTTTATATAATACATATATATGATACATATAGATCCGTTGATTCTCTTAAATGTATTGATGAAAAATCATTTCTTTTTTAAATGCGCGCGCATCGGAAATCACAATCGCAGGATGCACATCTGCAAATAAAGACGTCGCAATGCGACGCGATGCCAATCTTGAGCGCACTCCCGAGCGAATTACGCAATCTGCATCTCATTGCGCGGTGGTGACATAACGCAATCTCAAACAATATAATTTTTTTACGATCGCGTCGCCGTCACTCTCGCGACGTTATGATATTTTCTCACTCTCAAACGACGCACTGATTAGCCCTCGGAACGAGGTAATTGTATATTACGCGCTTTGTGCCACGGCATGACGGTTGTCTGCCATTCGTTAGGATTAATTAGGTCACCCGGTATATATCGCGAGTGCCGAGCCCGAACAAAGACGATCGAGCGCGGAACTTCGGCGATTTTGAGAAGCCACGGGTTCGGTGGGTGAACAGGTTTTAGTTCTCACAAAAGAGAACCCACCGGGAAGCCGCCATCCATATACGCCCGTAATATCGCGACGGTCAAAACGTAAACGCGCGCACTGGTATAACGACGCGTATAGTTATAAATTACAAGCCGCGCCGAATTACCGCGTCCGAGATAGGCATCGCAAATCGCGTCGCAATCTTTCACGTATATAGCCATTGTCGCTTCTTTTTGGGTTTTCTGTTCCTCCCTTTTTTTTATGACCTTTCTGCACCTCTGATTATCGCAGGCAATTTCGGCGACGATAATTTTAATGTCGATTTAATATCACTGATGGAATTAAATGCGACAGTACTTTCACCGGCTCGGCGAGACTAAATATTCACACAAAGCGAAATTTCACTTGACATTATGAATGTCGAATTACCGGTGCGGCGACAAACGAACACAATGTCGAGTAAATTGCGAGTGGCAAGCGCGAATATTCTCGCCGGACTGCTCCCAGACTCGATACGTGCCTTCAAAGTGCGTCGCGAGTTTTTACGCCTCATTCGCGACGGGCTGTTATAAACCGCTATTATAATTTCGCGTAAAATCGAAAAAGGCTTCTTTAAATATCGCATCATTATTGTACGATCGACAATAAACTCCGGTCACCTTTACGCAATATTAAATCCCACTTATTCAAAGAAAAAAAGAGACCGCCTCGCAAACAGCTCTCTCCCATTGGTAATCGGACATTGCTTATAGTCGACAAACAATTTCGATTAATTCTTTATTGCTTAATCGGGTCGCAATTATGAAATAAAGCTCGGCCGATGGGACGGGCGGGGGGGAACGAACATTTTCACTAATGCGATTATATCCGGCGTTTCGCTTTCCAGCGCGAACGGCGCGACGTAGCCGTGCGACATAATTTATTTCCGCGGAGGGAAATGTAGTCACTTTTTGGCGCGGCGCGGCTGAAGTTCCTCCCGGTAATAAGAAGAGAGTCGCTTACTGGAACGGAACCAAGTGGCGCGTTTTCGCGCGCGACAGAGGGAAGAGAGCCCGCGCGGCACGTAATTATCCACTTCGAAAACTCGGCGCCGCTTTAAACGCGGAAGAACGGCGGAGAGATGCGACTATACGGTGCGGTACGAGGCAGTGACAAAACACGACAAATTAATGGTCGGAATGCGCTGATGTTACACGTACAGCCGACCGTTTCGAGCTGCAATACATGTCCCAGGAGGAATTTCTGTACGCGACTATCCCGTTTCTACTACGCTATACCTCTCATCCACGGACGAGTCAGACAATTCGGAGAGAGAAAGACGTGTCTTCCCCGACAAAAATGGATAATTCTTGAATTACGAACGACAAAAAAAATGAAGAGCTTTGCGATACTTCAGGTGAAGAGAGTGAAAATCGGCACTACATCTGATGAAATATTAGTTTTCATCTCACATTTTAAGTTAACTATATTTACAAAGCTGAAAATGTTCATTTAAAAAAATTGAGTTAATATTGATGTGATCAACAAATAAATGTCTGCATTGCGATAGTCAGTCTAATATTTCAGAAAATGTTAATCATATTTAACAAGTAGGCATGTCATTATTATTATTATAAAGATTAATTTTGTTAGTAATATTAATGTTAAAAATCAGTGCTAAAAAATTACTACCAAAGCACACGCATCGTTATTCGATAATATCTCAGAGGATATTTCGATGCTATCATAATCCCCAGACGTACAGTCAGGCACGTATTGTGCGTTTTTACGAGCGCTCAGCGACGTCTCGTAAGTCGTTTCAGCGCGCCGAGATACTTTCGCGGCTCGGTAGTCCGTCATTCGACATTGGAAAAGAGAAAGGTTTGAAATGAGTGGCCAAGAGGGTAAACGACATAAAAAAAAAAGAAATGCCAGTGGGAAAAAAACGGGTCACTCGCTCTTCATGGTCTTTTAAACGCCACCCGTGGCGTCGGACGCGAAGCTGTGTTAACGCGTCGCACGCCCACGTACCACGGTTGTAATTGCAATATCCGCGTCAAGTAAGCATCCGACTGTCGTACAGCGGACTTGTAATCGTCGGCTTGTCCTCGCTCGTTTCCAAGCAACGGGAAAAAAAATCCCGTCGCCCGCAAGTAGCGCTTAAGACTTAAAAGTGCGTTAAATAAAATTGAAATATGTGCGACGATTGATGTAAAAAAGAATACGAGTATCTCCGTTATTTCGATTTTTCGATGAAGTCAAAGTGATGATTCTCTCTCGGAGAGAAAAGATATTATGCAAGGCGTTTACTTGCTGTAAGCTTTTAGTTCTCCGCGTTAAATCTTGATGAGCTAATCTCACGTTTCACATTAAAGTGTCGTCAACTTGAAACTAACTAAAGAACAAAACTTTATCCTTTATTAATTACTTATTTCACAGAGCACTTCAAATACCTTAACAATTAATTAATTCATCTAGTACGTTTTCATTAAAAGAGAACGAAGATTTTTTTTTCGAAAATTCTGTCATTAGCGAAAATGCTTAAAAATGCAATTACATCGAACTTACTGTTTATTTCTTTCACTTTCCATTTCGTTGTCGCAGTAATATTCGGTACGAGACACACACTGCGAGTATGTGAAATTAGACTCCCGCGGCGTGATGTATATTATTCTCTCCTCAAAGTTCGCCCGACGGAATCCCCTTTATCCTTGAAACAAATATAAGACTCGCATCCCCTTAATTCCTAAATATTTTTTGCGATACAGCCCGGAGCTCAACTTGTTGCGCTTTACAGGCCCGTCACCGCCCGCTGAAATTCCTATTTGTTCCAGCAGCGAGGGAGCGCGATAAAGGACGAAACTGCGGGTATGGAGTAGAGAGAAAAGGTCGTCGAAAAGATAAAGGAAGCGACATATGCGTGGAAGAAGGTATGTGAATTAGAAAGAAGACAATGTGATCTGTATAGGAACGTCTTAGTACAAATAGAAGCTTCTCTATTACTCAATTCAATTCAAATTTACGCAGTTTCTTCTCGATTATGCTATGGATAAATCATTAAATATAAACTTAACAGTATTTAGTAAAATTTATCGATTTTTATATAAAAGTAATTAAATAAAATCTCTTCTTTTGTTACGCCGTCAAAAAAATAAGCGAGATAAACAATTTTCATCAAATATTCGAATATTTCTTAAATTTATGTTTTCATAATGCATTAGAATTATTAGATATGATATTGATCGTAGATGCTTTGCGTCGATTAGTCATCTGAGATAAATCATTTATGGAGAATTCGGATATAATCCACTTTTTCTTCGCTAGAAATGATTCATTCGAGATGACTAGAGTGAACCAAGAGTGAACCATGTAAATTTCCCTTTAACAGATTCGGAGGAGGAAGGAAGAGTAGGAGAATATGGAACCTCAAGGGCGAATTCGGCGGCACCGGTTTGAAGGCAAAAAGAGAAATAATAAGGGCGGGGCCGTGACGGAAAGCGGAAAGAGAAGTAGGAGGAGGACGGAGGAGCCGTCGAGGGACAAAGAGAAGGACGAGGGACGCGAGAACGAAGACGAAGCTTAGGGATGCGCGGAACAAATTGCAGGAAAGGGGAGCAAGGGTGGCGAACGGTAGGGATGTTTAATGATAGAGAATTGCAAGTAATGGCGAGTAACGCGGCCTATTTAACACCCCCGCCTTATCCTATCACACGAAATAACCTCTGTGTCGCCGTTAATATTTTCTTATCGCCTCCAGCAAAGGCTACTCGCCGTGAAACGGGGTCTGAATCGAGGCGAGCAATAAATGCGGACCCTCATACGTATCCTACATTCAATGTGCGTGTGTATATACGTTACGTTGCTTCAAATAAATAACGATGTTTTAAATAATGATGTTAGATGGAATGTTCAAGGATGTATGTATAAGGAATAAATAAAACACACAAGCGACTGAAAGTCCATGTCGTTACTCGTTTAGTCCGTTTACCGTATATCTTACCTTTACGTATATTAGGCTTCTCCACGCCGGGCGCCATCTTAAAGCTGCTCCGGCCGAGCAAATTATTACGTTCCCAGGATGCAATTTCTCCCGCTTTAGAATAGTGTAATAGTGTTTGTCCCCCAGGCTTACGAGCGTATCACGAAAAATCGTCGTCGCGCAGACTTCGCGATTTTTCAACTTAATCGACGGTGCTTAAAATGTTTGTCCCTGATTCTTAAACGTCCAACTAAAAAGTTGTCTCCTTGTGCGAAGGGTAAAAGATGAAGACTTGCCCGAAGTACTTTTATGAAGAAGATATGAAAACACGATTTTCCAAAAGGTCTTAAATCAATTTTTGACAATGTCGTTTCTCTTACGATACAAGGAGAGAGAGAGAGAGAAGTTGAAAGTCATGAAAAGCTGCGAGCAATTCGATCCTAACGATCCACTTCAAAAAAAAAAACTCGTCCAATGTATTCGCTTTGGGCGTGACGATCATCCAGAATGAGCCGTATAAAATCGGTTTTGATCGCCAGACCGACGCGGTAGCACTCGAGAAGAAATTGACGCAGAAGCACTCGATGCTGATCAGTTACTCGTCCGCGCCCTAACGAGGCAGTAATGCCGCTATTACGCAGCCGTCATCCGTAATTTCGTTTTACGAGCGAAACGAGTAATCGGTTTAGTCGGCCGAGCGCGTCGGAATAATTGAACGCTGCGAAAAAAGCGGGCATCTCGATCGTAGCGCAAATTCCCGCGTGCACGGATACACACCCGGCTTTTTTTGTGATAATTTAATCCCCGCGAATTCATCGCCGCCAAATCGCGGATTTGACGAATTTACCTTGCGCCGTGCGAGGCAAATCAAAACACCGACATCAATATTCCGTCTCGACGAGATGGTCGATTGAGCGAACTGTCGAAAACCTATTCGCATCCACGTTCTCGTGTGCCCTTGAATCCTCGTCGAATCATCATAAACGTCATTTCAATAAGCACGAGCTTTTTGAGCCTAGAAATTCTAATACCGTAAATTGGCTGAAAATCATTTCTGCTCGAAGTTTCAATTGTTTAGCCTTAGAATTTTTTATTTAAAAAATTTAAGTATATTTATGTATGTATTTTTAGTACTATGATATTTTTATATTATACCGTTTTAAAATAAAGAAATAAGAAATAAATATCTCAAATCAAAAAATAAAAGAAGAGAGCAAAAGATAAGTCCATATAAGGTCCAATCGTATTTATATGAAAATCAATACCACTGAATTCCGGTGGGTCAATCTGAAAGTTGATACAAAGCGAGGTTTCGAAAAATCCCCGGGCAAATCGCGAGACTGTCGCTCCTCGACGAAAATCGCTGCGAGATCCTAAAATCGCATTAAGCGGCCGAGTTAACGAAGGTGAGCGGAAACTAGGTACGAGAAGGGCGAGTTGATGGACGAGAGGAGAAGGAGTCGAGGGAAGGGGCAAAAAAAGAGCCAGGGAAGGAGGATGACGGGGGGGAAAAGGAAAGAAAGAAGGGAAAAAAGACGTCGGTTTCGACGTCGAGTCCGGGCGCATACTCGAGTCAAACCAAAACGAGGTCCGGTCCCATGAACCTTACATAAACCAGCCTTGTCTACTCTCTTCTCTCCCCTACGCCTCAAGCTGGCCCTCTTTATCTTCGCCCTTACGCCCCCCTCCCCTCCTCCTCCTCCTCTCATTCTCTCCCCATCCTTATCCTCCCTCATAGACCGCGAGGCACGGTATTAAGCCACGCTCACATAAAACGCTTTTAATTTCGTATTTCTTTCTTCGGCACGTACCTCACCGGCGGCGCGCCGCGCCGTAACCAGTTTACAACCGGAGTCAAATGTGCGGCGCATGATATAAATTATTTATTTCCGTCGAAGCGCTATCGCATAATTCCGCTGAATTAACGGTGCGCGATGTGCCATAAAGAGAATAGTGAAATGATGGTTATTTCCTTTTCACGCAGACTGCAACGAATCGATGCTGTAACAATGCGAACGTCCAAAATAAAGGACTTGTCGATGGTTTAACATCCAGAATTTTTAATCACAGCTGCGTTTTATTTTTCCTACAAATTCTTTTTCACCAACACAAAATTTTAAACGAAAATTTGGCTAGTTTCTTTTCTACTTCATTTTCTAACCATTATTTTAAGTGCCGTAGTAATCAATTTTTATATTAAAGTATCGTTCGTTTAAAATTAAAAACATTAAACGAGTTGTATTACTAACAAACTTTGAGCTCTAATCATCTTCATTAAATATATACGAAAACTAAACTTAATTATAGCACAATAAAATTACATTCATGTAAAAACGTATTGCTTCAATCTACATTAGCTATTATTTTGAAAAATGTCTCTCCCTTTTTGCTCCTTAGTATCTTCCCTTCCTCGCCAGATTTGTGAAACATAACATTAAATAACGTTCATGTAAAACGCTTGTAATTTCGTATTTCATCCTTCGGCATATTCTCTCTGAGAGACCGCATTAAACGCTTTATAGCCTGTGTCAAATATTTCTTAAGATCAAAATTTTACGGCGCGTTCACCCTTTATTATGCACCCTTTACTAGTAGTAAAAAGCCCGAAGCGAATTTTGATTGAGACTATAATTAAACTCATAAGCAAATATATGCGTTTAGGGCAAACAAATAAAATTAACGGCATATGAAGAATACGAAAAAAGTTGTATCAACTTACGATATCTTTAATAAAATACATCCACACGTAATAGAGCGTAAACGACGAAAATAATTAATCAGAAAAAAAACGCGCTGAAATCACAAACGCTCTACACGTGTGCACGAAGAAAAGATTGTTCGGCGAGTAGATACGAGCGACGAGAGAAGTTATGACGAAACTTTTGTTGCACGGGTCAGAGGGTGATACCTCTCGCAATTTTCGTTTTTTCTTCCTCTCGCGATCGTGGAGCAGAAGAGCGAAAGAAAATGCCGTTGAAAATATTCGATTTCCGCAGGAAACCGATGAGTTCTCGTCTCTGAAAGTAGGCAGGCCCCTTAAAGCGTTCGGCACGTAGAAAACCGGGGCAAAACGATGCTCAACTTTGCACGGCTCTGGTCGAAGATACCCCCTCACCCTTCACGATCGTAGCCAACGGTCCTCGCTTTCGTCTCACCCTTTTCTCCCGTTTAACTTCTCTCTCTCGTCCACTCTTCTTTTCTTTGCCTATTTAGTCTCGCGCGATCGTCCGATTCGCAAATTGAGTAATATTCAAGTAAGAGAAATCGATCTCTTCAAAAATCGAAAATCGAGTCGACCGTGTACGCAAAGATAAAAGTTTCATTGGATGCTCGCTAGACAAGACGGCTTGCGAAGAAATCATTCGCAGCATATCGACCATTGTTCAAAAACTGATTTAAATGTATATAGTTTGATATTTGCCATTACATATTAATTAATATATTAATTGCTATTAACTGAAACATAAACTTGCTATTAACTAAACATAAATTGAGGAAAGAACGAGAAAAATTTGTTGCCTTCTTCGAAAATTACTGAACCTAATAATAGAACGAGTGCTCAAGTGCTCAGAAAATCTTTAAAGTCCGTAATTCCGAAGTGTAAATTTATACACTCGTTGACACTCGTTGACATTCGTTAGAGATATATTCAATTACAGTAGCTATTAACATGATTAATCATACATTCTGCATATGTATTATAATAAGTGTGGGACACTGAAAAGATTGAACTGAACTTGAGTCAATTACAATAATTTTCTTTATCATTATGACAAATTTTTTAAATGTCTCTCCAATTTGTGGCAATATATTCAATACCGCGTACTTATCCATATTCTTTAACTTAAAGACTCCTTTTATCTTAAAGATTAAAATAATTGTACACGCTACATATAATTTTGTAATTGCAGTAATTTATAAGAATAACTAGCCCGACAATTTCGACAAAGTTCAAAGGTACAAAGGAGTATTTGAGCACAGATGCAAAAAGATATTCCGCACACAGGAGCAACTATAGCTTGATGGAACAGGTTCCATACATCGTTCGCGATGCAAAGATCGAGAACCACTGTCGAAGGAACGAAGCCACAATGCCAGCCGATTGATTTACGTTGCTCGTTACGCGGTCCACTGCTCCGAAGAGAGAAAAATAAATTGATAGAGAGGAGAGGTGGAGAGCGGGAGAGGAGAGGAACGGAGGTGGAAAAGAGCAAAGGGGTGAAGGAAGGATGGAAGGGAGACGGGGAAGCGCGCCGAGCGAGAAAAGAAAGGGATCGAGAAGGAGAACATCGGCCCCCGAAGAAAGAGCACTTCTCGTGGAAGAGAGCGCGAAAGAGAGGAGCGAAAGGGGGCACGAAGGAACGCGAGCGGACCAAAGAGCCCCGCATGATGGGAAATGCAAAGTAGAATGAGGCCGCTTTGCGCGCAAAGAAAAGGAAGGCTCCTCTACCGAGGTCACGCTCGTGCGTCACGTTCGCTCGACTAATCGCAACTTCTATTACTACCGCTCGCTGATTTACTTCCGATCGCCGGAACGAGCGGCGGCGGGATTTCGGCTGAATTACCGCGAACCCGTAATAAAGCGCTTCTCTCGTTCTCTTTCTCTCTCCCGATTTGGCCCATTGAAGACTATCGCCGGAAGATTTGTACGAGTACAAAATACGATCCGTCTGTTATTTTCCCGAACGTGCTCTCGCCACGAAATATTCTTTCAATACGAATCTTTTCAGAGTACACCATATGCGAAAGTCTATCTTCACGTTTAACTATCAATATGCCAATATTCCCGTATAATATTTTATTCTTAATGTTATGCACGTTTCCCACAATGTTATTAAATGTCAAATTGTAAATCTCATGTTTCATGCCGCAAACCAATTCATATAATAAAGTATACATTATAAAATTTAACACACGGTAATACGGTATGAATGAAATTAATCTATAAAACAAAATTACATAAAAGGTATACA